TTGCATTTCGATTTTAATTATTAATATCATAAGTATTATGAAAAATATTTTGGGGGTTTTTTGCATTTAATAAGTTTTGTGAAAAATGTTTTTATTATTATTGCATTTCATAAGTTTTGCGAAAAATGTTTTTAATTATTATTGCATTTCATAAGTTTTGCGAAAAATGTTTTTATTATTATTGCATTTCAATTTTCTGATCTTTTTGCACATTGTTTTCTTTGTGATCTTTTACTGATATATTATGAGGTGCGCCAGAATTGGCATATATATACTACTCCTACTTATCAATGTCATCTGTTTAACTACCTATTTAAAAAATTTCTGTCTGACAACTTCCTGTTTTTAAGAAAACTTGTATTATATATTAAGTTTATAACTTTAAATATTATCCATGTTATCTATTTAACAATTAAAAAAAAAAAATTAAGTATAATATTATATAACCTAGGTATATTCCTTTAAATATTATCAATGCCATCTGTTAAACCACCTATTTAAAAAATTTAAATAAAAATATTTTTACTAGCAACTTGCTGTTTTTAAGAAAAAATAATTTATTGATCTTAGTTTCTATCACTTTTATTAAAATTTAAAAATATATAATCATTACACATGTTTATTTTTTTTTTTGAGAATTTATTTTGTTGTGGACGAAGTTTTTTTCCACTGATTGTTTATTTGAGGATATAACTTCATCAACTGTTCACAATCATTTTTTTTTAGGTGCTTTACCTAAAAGTATATGTTTTTTAAAGTGTGATGTGAGTATAGCTCTGTCCTCTTCAGACAACGGTACAACAATTATTTTCTTTTTTTTTGAACCTTTTATCACCAGTTTTACATTGCTGGAGACTTGTTTTAATGAATCTTCTCTAGATGATTTTGACTTGTTTAAAGTGGGTTGTAGAGGTGTTGCTTGATTCAGATTTGTTGAAGTACACAGATAGACAGAAGTTAAAGGTAAATAATAATAAAATCGGATATATATAATATAATAATAAGTATAATGATACGATGTACAATAGTGTTACGAGGCGTAATATAAATCAATGACTAACTATGTAATATGTATACCCGGCTACACTACACAAGACATATATGCTGTAGTATTATAAAAATGTATAGTCAGCGTCTGCTGAACTACAGTGTGAATATATTACTTATACACTACATTATATAGGGTGTTTTGTTTAAAATTCCAACACTTTCCCTTAAACAATATACCCTTATACATCAATACTTATAACTCCTAACATCTCCCTTAGCTCATTGAACCGCGTTCGTGGAGTTGGCTTTGTCATAATGTCCGCAATCTGCTCCTTGCTGGATATGTACTCCAATGAAAACAATCCCTCATTGAACTTTTATCTTATATAGTGGTAGCGAACATCTATATGATTTGTTCTTCTATGAAACTTTGGATTTTTTACGAGTTTAATCGCACTTTGATTGTCTCCATACATTGTTGGCACCATTTTTGGCTGGTCCAGCAATTCACCTAAAAACAATTTTAACCAAGTTAATTCTTGTACTGCTTGACTTAAAGCTATGTACTCTGATTCAGTTGTGCTAAGGCTAACACACTGTTGACGACGTGAACTCCATGCTATACTTCCAGATCCTAATGTAAATACTGACCCTGATGTTGACCTTCTTGTATCCAAGTCACCTGCATAGTCAGCATCACTATATCCCTTTAACATGAGTTTTTGTCTAGAACTAAATATCAATCCAAAATTAATAGTTCCCTTTAAATATTTTAAAATTCGTTTCACTGCTGTCCAGTGTTATTCCTTTGGATCCTCGATGTATCTAATAACTAGATTTACTGAAAAAGTTATGTCCGGTCTTGTAATCTGACTGAGATATAATAAGCTTCCGACTGCTTCACGATATGGGACTTTACTAGTTAGATTGGTGTTTTGTTGCTTGTCACCTAATGAATGTTGAGGGTCTCCTGGTATTTGAACTGGATTTGCTTCAGTCATACTGAACTTCTCCAATATTTTTTTACAATACAACCCTTGGTGCATTACAATTGATCCATCAGATTTTTGCACAATTTCTGTACCTAAAAATTGATTCAATTCTCCTTCGGTAATATTGAAATGTTGTCTCAAATATTTCATTAATGCATTTACATCCTCACTCGATGTAGTTGCAACTAGACCATCATCAACAAATATAGCGACGATTAATACTTTGTTATTTTCTCTATTAACAAAAACACAGAGATCTGCTTTTGTTTCTAATAGATTAAAGTTAAGAAGAAATGTTTTTAATTTTATGTTTTGATTAGCATTGTAAACAATTTATTCTCACGAACACCGACTGCAATTACACGATTATTAATTTTAAATGAGCAACCTTTACTGTCTGTCACCATTGTAATTCCTTTATCAAGGCATGCCCCACAAGAAAATAAATTTACCTTTAGATCAGGTACATATAAAATATTTTCTAAGTAGCCTTTTATCCACTTATTGTCAACATAAGTATGAATATTTATGTTACCTTTTCCGACTGCCATAATGTGCTTACCATCTCCAATACGTACAAGCGAATGCACATCAAAATGTTTGTAATCGACGAACCACTCTTTTCGATTTGTCATGTGGTCGCTCGCACCTGAGTCTACATACCATTTGTCTGAGTCGTCGATTTCTTCATTTTTTCTTTGTACACCAATAAGCGCCAAACCGGAAGTTGTATTATTTTCTTCTTGTTCCTTTTTGAATATCCTGCAGTCCCTTTTCCAATGTCCTGGTTTTTTACAGTGATTGCATTTTCCTGGTTTTGTATTATCATTTTTGTTCACGTATTTTTGACTTTTATTATACTTGCCTTTGGTTGCAGTCAAAGCACTACTTTCAGCACCATCGTCACGGACCTCCTGTCCTTGCACTTGTCGTGTTTCTTCCACCATTAATCGAGTGGCTAACTGTTCTAGCGTTCTATTTGCACTATTCATTGAGTCCTATGCACTGTAGAAGTGCCTATAGCTATCAGGTAATGTCATCAAAATGTTTGTAATCAACATTGATTCTGAGATAGGTTCTCCCAATTGTTTTATTTGTCTACTTAGATTTTCTAATTTTGAAATATGACCTGCTATATTGTCTTTTGGATCCATTGTATAACGATAGAACTTTTGTTTTACTATTGTTATGCTTGTGCCCGACATCTGTTCGTACACACTAAGTAATTTGTTCCACATACCATTTGCTGTGTCACAGTTCATAATGTATTGTAGAGGTTGTTCATCTAACGATGTGACGATACATTTTTGAGCCTTATTATCTGCCCTTTTCCATATTGAAAAATCAACGCTATGCCTTTTTCACGCTTCATCTTCAGTTTCCTTACCGATTTTTGCTAAAATTGATTTCTTTGATTTTCCTGTTACTACATCAAATATTTCAGCTGCATTCATTGTAACCTTAATTTGAAATTTCCACATGTCAGAATTTGATGCATCTTTGAGTTTGTTGATTTTATGTTGTTCGTTCTCCATATTTAAAAAACGTAAATGTACACTATCTACACACTAAGAAACGCACTCACACTACACTGCACTTACTTCGCGAATTATTATTGATATACACTGTCTGTACACAAAAACACGCAATTCGTTAATCAATTATTATTTTAATAACTATTAACAACTTCATTATAAAGACCTTACTACTGGGCCCATAACCTGTTGAAGTACACAGATATACAGAAGTTAAAGGTAAATAATAATAAAATCGGATATATATATAATATAATAATAAGTATAATGATACGATGTACAATAGTGTTACGAGGCGTAATATAAATCAACGACTAACTATGTAATATGTATACCCGGCTACACTACACAAGACATTTATGCTGTAGTATTATACAAATGTATAGTCAGCGTCTGCTGAACTACAGTGTGAATATATTACTTATACACTACATTATATAGGGTGTTTTGTTTATAATTCCAACAAGATTAATTCCATTTTCTTCATTTTCTTCCGCAGAATCTTCTTCCTCTTCTCCGGATAATAATTCATCTAGGCTAATGTTTATTTCGTCTAGACTCTTTCCGCGATACTCATTTCCTTTACCATTTTCCATCATCAATAACAGCTTACTTACTTTTGCAACCTGAAACAAAAAATAAATTTACATGTTATATATTATTTTATAGGTAGGTACTATAAATAAAATAATTAAATTTATAGAAATGATTAATGAACAAATTAAAATATATACCTGAAATGCATTGTCAGAGAGCCTATAATATTCTTTGTGAACATTTATGGAAGTCCCATAAATGTTGACAGTTGTTCAATATCCCCTTCTGATAAGTTTAGTATTTGTGTCACAGTAGCGACATGCTTCCTTAATCTAGTTGAAGTTATGTTTTCAGGGTGCTCAGCTCCAGAATTATTTCCAAATTTACGGATAACATCAGATGCTCTTACACAATTATTCGATGATTGAGTTAATGGAAAGAGATATGGATTGTCTTTTTTTATAAAGCTAACAATTTGCCTTAATTGCAACAAGTATTGTAATCGCTTTTGTATGTGAGGTGTAAACAAAACTGGCACACCTCTTCCACGTTTGCCTCGTATTACAATGCGTTTAAAATGTTTTGTTAGTTCGGTTTCCATAGGTGATAAAGCCTGCACAACTTCTTCTTGTGAAATTTCTGATGAGGAATTAGTGTATGTAATAAAAAGTATTCGGTGAATTTCACCCGATCTGCGACGGTTAAGCAGAATTAACTGGGCTAGTATACTATCCTGCAGATCACGATAGGCTTGTACATTTTCAGGATTTGTTTTTAATTTGCTGAAAGATTCAATTTCAATTTTCAATAAATGATCTCTAAATAACTTTATGTCAGAAGTTAGGGGTAAAATTGCTGGCTTATTCCATTTCTTCTGGGTTATATCCTTTGAAGTTTGAAGCATTGGTAGATATTTCATGAGACCATTGTGTTTCCATGAAATATTTCATATTATGTATTCATATTCTTGCTTGATTTTTTCGGATTGACCATCTTGTTCTTTAAATTTAATGAATTCTGCAATATCGCAACATTGGTTAATTAAATGTCCAAGTTTTAGAATTATAAAAGGAGATGCAAAGCTATCTGTTAGTTTATTATAGTTGGCTATTTGCATTGAACATTTTACAGTAGAATCAAAATATTTAGGTGTCAGGCAGTCTTCAAGATAACAAATTTCATTATTTTCACTCTTCATGGCAACTAATTAACGAGGCAAATTCTCATTTTTTGAGAGAATACAGTGACTAAATGTTTTTCTTTGTGACTCTTTAAGTTCCTAGATCCAAAAGCTTTTATTAACTTGTCAGACTAGGCTACAAAAGATATTTTATCAGCAGTCATTCTAGGAAAGACATTTTTTACTAATTGTTCATCTGTATCTGTAAATGAAAATAATAGGTTTTGGCAATCTGCCTGAGTTTGATTTCTTTTTATAGTTTGAATTTTCAAATTTTTACATATTTTAAAATGTCTGTACAAATATTTTTTTTTAAACATACCTAAGCAATGTTTGCATCGTAAATAATCACTTACTGAAGATTTTGTTTGAAATTCATATGGACGACGAACTGATTTTATTTTAGACTTCTCATCAACATTAAATAAAAAATTTCCACTCATACTCAAAATATCTGCTTCTTTTTTACGCTCAGCAGAGCATTTAGGTAACGCCATAAACCTAATAACTTCAATTTCTTCATTATGCTTTCCCAATAAATGCCTAGTGAAATTTCTGACGTTTGTCTCACAAAATAGGCAATGGTCTACCTTATCCCAAACTCTTTGGTTTATATTTTTTTTTTTACTCGTTTCAACTTCTCCATCGAAATAAAATTACTCGACATATAAGGTACTGATAAATTAACGCTAGATATGCGGGGAGGTGACAAACGTTTCCCCCCCCCTCAACCCCACCCAAAATAAAAGATTTTTTGAAATTTTTTTTAATTTATAATTGGTATGGAATATGTATGAATTTGTACGATGAAAATCAGAATTTGTACGGATTTATTTTCTAAAGGAAAAAAAAAGTGTGGGGGGGCTGTAGAAACGATTCCCCAGCCCTCCCAAATACTAAAAATAGGTTTTTTCAAAATTTTCTTTTGCGAATATTTAGTACGGAATTTGTATGCATTCGTACGACCATTCGCGAATTTTCCGAAAAATCCCTTCCAACCGAAAAACGGTTTTTCCACACCGAGCGTTTCCCCAGCCCTCCCAAATACTAAAAATAGGCGTTTTCACATCCCAGCAAGTTTTTCCATAATATTCTTGTCTATGAGGATTTGGAAATAATTTTTTTTTTTAAAAGCTTTCTATAACTACTGATCGGTGGGATGCTACAAATATCTATATACTTTCAGTACATGTATTTTATAATATATGCTATACACCCTATCATTGGCGTACGCTCAATTTGTACGATTTTTATTCATGCTAGACCATTTTTTTTTTTAAATATTAAGGCTACCGATAAAATAAATAGTACAAATGATAACCCACGATGTGTGAAGAAACTGAAAACCCACAATTAAATCATATAATTTGTCAAATAACATGTACTTACCTTATTATTGCACTTTCCCTTAAAACGATTCATTCTTAGTTCTTATCGTTTCTTGTTTACCATTAGGCCGATAACTTTTATTTTTTAATGACATTTTTGTCATTTTGGCATTTTTTTTAGGCCATTATTTAAGGTTTTTGAGGTCATCCACTTCCGAACCCTACCCATAACTAACGTAGGGACACAGTGACCATTGTACAACCTTATTTACATTATTTCCTCTGGGGTCACTTAAAAACAGTAGTGTAGGCTGATCCACCTACCTGTCTGGCTGATTAAAAAAATTAAATAGCTGCAGTAAGTTATCAAGTTACCACGGAACAACAAATTATTTCTGCTACTAATCGTGAATTTTTAAATCACATACAATGTTGTTTACAGCACAATGGTGCACAATTTGAACAATTTTTAATAATTTGTTAGAAAAGGTAATAAACTATCCATTAAATACTGTATTTCTATATTCAGCCATTTTTTAACTTAGAAAAGAAATTCAACTACCGATATTCATTATAAAATACAGTGAAAAATAATTTGTGGTCAAAAATTTGCCATGCCACAAAAAAAAAAAAAAGTGGTTGTGCATATGAGCAAATTTAAGTGTCACAAAATTAGTTTTATTATTTGAAAATGTGTGTAATTAGTTTATTAGTCAGCCAAAAATATAGAACTCAAATAATTGAGTACCACCTATATGCTAAGTTATTAAGTGTATCCACTCATCATGATCACACTGTATATTATATATTTAATATTTATGATACTATCACAGAATATTCAGTGTTATAATATATCTTATTGCTTATCAGATATTAATAACTATTGTATATATATTCAATTTTTATTTAAGAATTAATGTACTTACCTATTTATTTGGTCAATATTTATATTGTATTGCCCTAACTATATTATATGGTTGTGATAAATTACAACATATAACTCAGTAGAGGCCTAAATAATATTATCTTAAAATAGCTAAAATAAGATGCTAATATTTTAAAAAATTGAAAATATTCTTCCAATTTTCTTCGAAAATCATAATTAAATATGTAAAAATATGCTTTCATATTAATTTATTCTATTAAATTAAAAATATGCCTTTATACTCAAAATAATATAGTACATAATAGAAATAATACACATAGGTGTATATTTATGAAAACATCAATGTACCTATAATGCAGGTATGCCTTTTCTTGTTCTGATATTTACATGGTTAAATATTGAATAACTTATATAATCAATTTGAATTAAAACACATATTTTATTAGTTATTGTAACCTAAACTATACTGCTTTTATTATTAATTTGTATATATTAAATATTCACATATGACTTTAGTTGAGGCTTTTACTGATATAGGTAGTTTTTTCTTTTGATCATCCATTAGTTCCCAACTTCTTTCACTGCGTTTACAATAAGCAGTATAATGCCCAACTGATGTCCTCAACCTGCTTAATCCACGTATATAGTTGACTACACCTCTCAGCTCATATGTTGATTCATTATGTATTAACCCTTTCAGACCCACATTATGATTGAATATTGATAGCGATTTTTGGTAAATAGCTTTTTCCTATAGAATTTTGTAATTAGAACTGCAATAAAACGATTTTTAGTTTTTATCGATTATCAACTGAATTATTATATTTACAGATAACATTTTATTGTAAAATTGTAGGTAACACTTTTGTACATATTTTGATGTTGGCTGCACTGTTCTAGGATCAAAATTGTCATCGCTATCACAAAAACCCCGGGTAAACTGAATACGAACGGTTATTCGCAGGAAAAATTTTTTGTACGATCCATTTCATTATCAATATAATAAACGACCATGGTAATAACCACGTTATCGGTTATGATTAATTCTTATCACTTATCACGGAAATAATGTGTACGTCAGAACAACTACAAGTATCACAATTTTCAACAATACAACACAAGCATTAGTCTCTGTTTTAGCACATGCATGAATAGAATATATAAATAAAATAAATAATGTTATTCATACATGAGCATTTATATGTATAACCTAACCTACACATACATAGCAAGTAGTGCATTAATAGAAAGGTCTAATCGTTTGTATTAGATGGTCAGGACAAATATTAATAACTTTGGAATATAAGTATTTTAAATTTTTATTTTTTATACGATACACTTATATACATGCAGTCAAGAGTTGTTACAGTCTTTAAACAGGTATGTAATAACTAATAAATTAAATTGACATGAAAAAACACACATCATTGTAAAATCAATACAATCATCGCTCTACTTACTCAAAACATGAAGCGTGACGGTCAATAATTATAATATTACAATAAATTAAAATATAGGAGTTATATAAATAATATTATTATGTGCAGGTACCTGTAATTCACTTAAGAGGACGTGTCACCCAAAGCTGTACGCATGCAACGACCCAGAGGATGCGCTGTTAGGTGTTTTCACGATCAGCAAGCGCGCGGCGTTTAAGTCACGCCTACTATTCGCAACCGGCCGACGGCGGCGACGAGTGCTCGGGACTTCGGGAGCGCCGTTTATTTGTCTATGAACGTTCTTGCCCAGAACATTTAAAACCAGATATCTCCTTTTGTATGATATTAGCGTACCTAATAGTCGGAGATATATCGTTATTGCACCGAAATGTAGACAAATTTTTCCACTATTAGAATATGTTAAAACATGCATTTCGAAAAAAAAGTGGAGATACCTTGTTATTGCACCGGACCCTAGTAACTGGTCCCAGCGGTTCAGGAAAAACAAATATAATGTTTAATCTGATCACACATGTAAACGGGTTAAGATTTGAAAATATTTATTTATACTCGAAAACCTCTAATCAGGAAAAATATGTTTTATTAAAAAAAATAATAGATGGTATACAAGGTGCTAATTTTTTCCTATTTACAAGCGCTGATAAGGTTATAAAACCAAACTTAACGAAGAAAAATTCTATTATAATTTTTGATGATGTGATATGCGGCCCACAATCTGTAATCAGAGAATACTTTAGCATTGGTAGACATTCAGGTGCCAGCTCCGTATTTTATTTAGCACAGACATATTCTAAAATATCAAAACAGCTTGTAAGAGATAACGCAAACTTTTTAATAATACTGAAACAAGATGATACAAATTTACGACATTTTCGTTTTCTGACTTCTGGTTAATCTTGAAAAATGTTTAATATAACAATAATGTGATGTTTCATCATTATTAAACAAAAATAGGTCAAAATGATTATTTATTTCAGTATTACATACATACAAGGGAAAAAATGTTTCTTTATCATCCAAACTATAAATGTTTATTGAAATATTGTTTATACGTTCAAATTTGGGTATCTTACTGATCGGTGTTGGAAAATCAACACATTTAAAATTTAAACCACTTTTTAACTCTAACATCTTAAAATATTTTTCATTAAAATTAGTTTTATTGGAGCGATTATCAAACTTTGATAATAATTCATATTTAAAACATTTATTATCACTATTTTTCACATTGATAATCGCTTTTTTATCTTTAACATACTTAGGTAAATCAATATATGTTCCTCCTTTCAGAGGATTCACTATATTGATTCTCAGCTGCAATGTTTCTATCACCTTAAGCGACCA